TGAGAAAGAAAAGATGGTAAATCCAAGACCGCCCCATATATATATATATATATATATATATATATATCCGTCAGTTGAATGAAAAGTTCAGAGCCTATCCAAAAAATCTGATAAGCAAGCAAGTCAAACAAAGTTTCCATGATCTACAGCCTTTCTTTATTTATATCCTAGAAATTCATATTTCTACCTCTGACTTTTATTTCAGCAGATTCTTGAAGTCAACAGGGAAATAGAACTTGGTGAAAATGAAAAAATTAGCGCATTATGCGGTGGTCAGATATTTCAATCCAAAAAGAAGGTCACCAAGATATGCTCAATATTTTACAAGACAATGCCCTTACATATGCGAGAATTCAAGAGCGATAGGTAGGGTATTGAAGGCGAGCCCACGCCAAGGTGATCATCAACCGCTATCACAAAAAAAACCTTAACCAAGCGGTGGGTATGATAATGCAGGATGAACAACTCGTCAGATAGCAGAGGCTGGGCATCTCCCAGGATCGAGCAGATAATATGCTCACGAAGGAGCTACGCTATTTAAAAGTTTCCGCTTGGTGTGTGCCCCATCTTCTGACTCCTGAGCAGAACGACATTCGGTATGTGGTCAAAGAACAAGTTGAAATTGTTTGAGTTAGGTGCAGATAAATTCCTAGCACGATTCCGCACTGGGTATGTGCTGGCGTCCATCGCTACCAGCCAGGAAGAAAAGAACAATCAAAGCAAATGAAGCGTTCATCATCTACGCCAAAGAATGCTAAGGTTACGCCATCAGCTGGCAAAATGATGGCCTTTGTAATGTTTAAATTCCCGAGGTGTGGTAATGATTGGTTACCTTGAAAAAGGTCATACCATCAGCCGGAAGTACTACTGTGAGCTTTTGAAGCGCCTCGGAAAAAAAGCAGAGAAAAGGTGCCAAGAATGACAATGCTCTAGTCCACATCTCTTCGACTGCTCAGAAAACAATCCATGGCTGCGGCATCAAGATTCTTCCTTACCCATCCTATTCGCTAGATCTGAAGTCAATGAAGTCGTAGATGAGTTTTTAGGGTCACAATCCGACGAGCTTATTCCTGTGGGATAAAGGCGCTTCAGCACCACTGGAGGAAGTCTGTCGCGCTTCAGGGTGATTACGTTGCCAAAGAAAAGCGTTGAAAAGGCTGTATCTAGTTTGGATTTTTGAGGCTCACAACTTCTACGGGTAAGGCATTGAGCCATCAAAACCATGGAAATCAAAGAAAGTTATCGTAAAAAGGAAACACAACACAGAATAATCTATGCTCTCTTCAGAGGGAACGATACGACCCGGTTCCTCAAACCTAATTAGGAAGCAGACTTAGGGGAATCCCAGCTCGAGGCTTCACCGGAATAGCATATCTGAATAGAAGCGGACCGTATTAAAGAAATCGCGCCGACTGAGATCCGGTGGATGAGTACTAAGTTCAAACGTCTTTCCTTTAAACGGTTACCAAAGATGGGACCAATCACATGTATAATTTCAGCATCAGATTGCTGGAATACAATGCTCCACCAGAGTGAGGTAATGGACAGGGAATTTATTTAGTGGCGAGCCACAGCTGCCAAGTTACAGTGCTGTTAGGCGGATATATGTGGGTTTTACACGGATGATGCTTGCCAGACGATAACACACCACCGTCTAGTAAGATAGAGACAAGAGAGGGCATGCGAATGCAAAACGCTGGGAAGGCGAGTGAAAGGGCTTAGTGATATGGCGAGAAAACAAGTGCATAGTGTACGTGCAAAAAAGAGACAGACCAAGAACTAGCGAAATGGTGACAGCGATCGAGCCAGCAAATCTGAAAAACAAAGCTTTTCTAGCATGTAGTAAGAGTGTGAACGAACTGGAAAGTTCACACTCGTCTGAAAAGTGGCTCACTTTCGTGAGAAGATCAGGGCCAGGTCGATGACCCAAATGATAAGTGTTGCCGAGAAGTATGCGGCAATCGAGAGCTTCCAATTGTTCCACGGTGATTCCTTTCACTGAACCTTGGGTACCCACTGGCATAAAAACAGGCGTCTCCACAGATCCAGCAGGACAATGAGGCAGCCAAATTTCGCAACGTCGAGCACGACTCGTGGAACATTCAGCAATAATTTCGAACGTCGATGCAGCACTGGTTCGAACACTTAACAACGGCTTGGTAAATTCACGTGCCGAAGCCTAAGACACAGAAAAGCGTAATGAAAAAGTGGTGGATGATCTGTAGCGCCCAAGAAAGGCACACTAGTCGGAAAAAGACAAACTATGCGTTTTGGAGGTCAGCAGGAAAACGTAACTGGTATCAAACGACGACGAACGGCAGTTTCATCATGCAACCTCCAAAAAGACACAACAAGCAGTCTTCGGCTTTACGTGAGTTTATAGTGCTACAAAGCGAACCGGCCTGAATTATACATGGGCATATGACACATAATAAGTGTGAATCAAAGGTGCCCGTGGCTAGTTCAGAAATGACAACCTACATTCTGACCGAAAAGTGCCCACTCTCCGTCTGTCCCAGAACACTACTCGTGGACACAAGAGTGTACCACTGTGCCAAACGATCATTTGGTGGAACAACTGCTACAAGTGGAGCACTCGAAGAAAAATCGTATGTGCTTACTTCGATCGCAGGATTGAAAGAAGAGAATGAGCGATACTGGTGTGATCAATCCGCAACGGTGAAACTAGCAGAGAGACCTCCGTAATATCGTGTGAGGCTCCTGAAACTAGTAAGTCAGCGAGATTTCAATAGAAAAATTATTAGGCATTTCTAGAAGTGATAGCCAATGTCACAGTGGGTGAGATCAGTTGAGCCAGGTCACGTGTCAAGGGAGGCAGGTGTATTAAATTACCCGGCTAAGATGGGCTGCTCAACCGACTGTTGAAGAGAAAGCACACGGCACACAAGACTGAAACGGCTCACACTAACATAGTGGATGTTGTAATTCCGCTGATTGTATGGATCTGGATTGTGTGTATCTGCTGCTAACAAGCAAGCTTCCCAGATTAGAAGATAAGGCCTCAGAGGAATATTGCATTGCGCACCCGGCAAGTAGTATAAGCAAATCAAATAATGAGATCGAATCGATAGTTATTAAAGAAATGGCATAGTGGTCACTGGCAGGCTTCAAGATAGATCATCCTCATTGGCAGCGTTCAATGTGAAGCGTCATCCTTAGCCCGCTCTTATTGGTTGGCCCATAAACTTCGGCCTGCGTCATGGTCAACTGATCCGAGCTACCAGAAAAGGGGTGCCTGCCCCATTAACAGTGGATTCGCTGTTGCAAGTCATTTTGCTGGCACAAAGAAGTTAAACTAGCGCGGCTTCCAGTAGCCTGACGATATGGCACACGGAAGGCGGACAATGAATAAGTAACAAACGACGTCGTCTGCTTGGAAAACATCTCATGACTACCTGGGCTGATAGATGTTGTGACTACTAGCGAAGCTGCTCTGAAACATTTTGTCCCCCTCAACCACTTCACCGACGCAGAAAGGGGAAAATATCTAAATATGTCAAGAATTCGATCGCTCTCGTCAGTCGCAGACGAAATACATACAGAATGTCAAATAAATTACGTGCGTAAAACAAATGTTCAAGGACAAAATGTAGTAAGCAGGATCTAACTGATTACATAGATTGCTTTTGTGCGCATAGCGCTGGACGACTTTTCCTCCTGATCAACAGCGTTTCGCCAATTAGCAACTGTTTCGGATTCCCGTCACGCAAGAATAGTTTGGAAGCATTCGATGTGTCCACGTGATGACCAGTGGCCACGAGGTGTTATGTGATAGACAACGCATAGTTCCGCTCTAAGACTTGATCCACTCCGTCTTGGTGTGGCATCGACCATCCCAGACAAGTTGGAAGGTGTTCGGCATATCTTTGAACCAGTCGACGGGCACTGTAACCGCAGGTGGAATGGTAAATAACATGGCGGGAACAGATTGCGTGGATGGTGGTAAAGAGCTAGTCTTTGGGTGGTGTGGATGAATCGCAACCGAACGATTGTGCAAGTGTGATTGAGAGGATACTTGAGTTTGTACACAGTGTCGCTTGCAATATGGTCACTTTTGAATGACAGGAACAAACAAATATCTTCCTCTCAAAACAGAAAAAGCAGAAAACGTAAACTGTGAGGTAACACTCATTTTGTGAAAGCTGTATGGTGAGACATATACATCAATAAAACGGTAAGTGTACTACTACGCCGAAACTCCATGTTCACAGTCAGTAGTCGAGTGCATAGCCTACAGAGCTAGCTAACAGGATTGGACAAAACAAGGATCCGGTGGCCAGCCGAGGGGGTCACACGTATATATATATATATATATATATATATATATATATATATATCACAGATTGGTTTGCTGTATTTCGTAAAGCTTACTTTGTTATGTCATTTAGATGTCTGTCCGAATACGCTTCTTTTTACTTGTTTAAGCAACATGTTTAAGCAGACTGTAGTCAAATTCTTTTGTAGCATTCTAAAAAATATCTTTTTCTAACATCTTGAACTTAGCGCGGATTTGTTGGTAATCAATTTATTTCACATACTCATGTAGGGAATAGTTAAGTCGGTATATCCGTAGGTGCTATTCGATAACTGTTATTTGACATTTTCATTTCAAGTGATTGGCTGTTGTTTGATATCCCCGGTGTGGCTGCGCTTGATGTGCATGTTGACAAGGCGTCTACCTGTCTACTACCCTCCAGCTCGATTAGTGGCTTCAGGAGTTAGTTAGGGACGGGGTGCACGGTCCTCGTGGCCGTGCTAGGCTCGAAGAGTGGTTTCATTTAGCGTGGAGCGGACTACTGTTCAGCAACCGTATTGTGTGCCTTTGGTTCCCAAATACAGGGTGCTTCTGTTTGTCTGTGAAGAAGTTGGGGTCGGCTCTGTTGATGAAATGTGGCTCCCATCCACATGCCACAGGATCTTATTCTTTCGGGTTTACACTGAATATGTGGTATGTGAATGGATCTGTTGGTGGTGCAGCGCAAGCCACCCATGTCCCTCTGTAGGCGCAGGCGTCCTGTGGAAGCCACAGTGACAGGCAAATCCGGAATCGGATGCTGCCAACCACATATCACAGACGGAAAACATAATGCAGAGCTGGCGAGAGCACCTTGACTGTTTCTTGAATAACCTTTCAGAGATAGACTGGCCAACGTTGAACGGGCTGCAACAACACGGAACAAAGGTATCTTGCGGACACACCAATATGCATGAGAAGCAGTAAGCACTTGCTCAGCTGTGAAGCGTCAAGGGTGCCAAAGCCGATGGAATACCGCCAGAAGTGCTGAAACATAGCGGGACAGCGCTGCAGCCACACGGTAGAACGCGTGTAGTTTAGAGAAGAGGCGTCGGCTGACTTGAAAGAGGTCCTTGTGCTACAATCGTACAAGGGCAGAGGAAGCAAAGCTTGTGTCACGAAGTACCGTGGTATCAACTTGCTGAGCTGTGTGGGCAAGGTGATTGCTCGAATCCTGCTCAACCGCCTTGTCACGCAGGTGTTGAATCGAACGTGGCGGAAAAGCACTGCGGATTCTGTTCGGACCGTAGCACTATAGATATGGTGTTCGCAGCTTCTCAGTTGCAGGAGAAATTCTGAGAGCAATACCAGACGTTGTACTCGCTGTCACTTGACTTCACCAAAGAATTCGACATAGTGAGCCGGGAGGAACTGTGGCGGGTGGTGGGTAAGTTTGCTTATTCAAGTAAGTTTGTAAGTCTGATAGAATATCTGCACAGTGGTATGCGGGAGAGGGTGCAGCTGAGTAGACAAACTGTGGATGACTTTGTAGTGGTCTCTGATGTGAAGCAATACTGTGTCTTATCCCCTGCCCTGTTTAATATTTACCTAGATGCAATGATGTATTGTGTTTTTGATACTTATTGTGATTACGGTGCCAATGTGGAGCATCGTATATATGGCGGGTTGCTGAAAATCCGTCGTCTCGGGGCGAGAACCTTAGTGTGAAAGACAACCAAGCATATGTTGTAGTTTGCAGACGACTGCGCGTTGTCTGCACACAGCGCGGATCAGATGCAAAGCATGGCGATGCCTCTCGTTTCGACAGCTGACAAATTAGGAATCAACATCAACACTAGCAAGACTGACTTTTTTAGCGTTCACCAGAGACTGACGCTTTGTGCCCACCCCAAATCCAGATAGGAAAGGACGTATTGGAAACTACATCCATATTGTGTTACTTGAGGGGTGTACTATTGACCAACCTCCAGATAATGAAGGCGCTGTGAATCCGTGTATCGAAGGTGGCTGCTGGAAAGCTGGAGAATCGGTTGTGGAATCAACACAAGCTGATCGTTGGCACGAAGCTGACGGTTCTGTCCGTCGCAGCGAGACTAGACCTTAACACAATGTGACTATTTGCGTGCCTCTTTGATCCATTACGCTATACGGAGTGGTGCTGCCGGGCACCTTGAAAGCTACTCCTACCAGGTTGGTCAATGGTTAGAGGTCAGACAAACTCAGTCTCCTGGTCCTCCAGGTTGGGTGTTAGAAATGAGATGGAGTTCATTTCTGCAAAACCGTATAGTGCCACACCGCGCTGCTTTGCGGACAGAACTTTGAGCCAAAGCTTTTCGTTGAGAACCCCAATCGTCCTCCCGGCTATATCTGGGTACCTAGGCACTATCACATCTTACGTACAACCATGACTACTTATTCAAACTCCAACGACATCGTGCATTGGCCAACGCGTAACATACTAAGGTTCGCCATATCTGCTGTATACAACGGGACGGATAAACAGAAACATGCTACTGTTGGCGTTTCTGTTCATTCTTTTCCACTTGTTTCTCTTACTACCTCACTACCCCTCCACTCATAGATCACAGATTAACTGACAGCAGCCACAATGCCACTGGAGTCATCCAACGGCAGCTACCTTCCCGCACAACCCACTGGACGCTTATCGGCAACAGTCCCGTTGTCATGGCGGCGTTTAACGCTCGCACTCTAAGACAAATAGGTCAATAGACTGCACTCGCAGGCACGATGGACAACCTGGGTATTGACATGTGATGTGTTCTGAAACTAGGACCAAGGATCCTCACGAGGCTGTTGAATTAAATGCGTCCGGTTTGTCCTCTCGCTATTCGTTGCACGCATCAGGAGACGCTGATGCAGCAATCATTGATGAAGTCGAGGTGGGCATCGATCTTAGCTCCGAAGCTGAATCATGGTTGGTTAACTGGACTCTCGTGAGCAGCCCGTTTGAAGACATCGACTCAGGTTGATTCAAAAAGCAGCGCCAATCGCTGTTTGTCTGTGGCTTCCGCTTATGCCCCCACCGACTGCTGTGGATGCCGTCGGCACTTTCTACTACGAACTGGTTACGCTGACTCGCTGTGTTATCAGTTCAGATATCACTGTTACTTCAGGTCATATGAGTGCGCACGCAAGTGGTTCGTCTGGGCTTTTCAGAAGTTCAGCTAGCTGGTAATTATGGACTTAACTCCGACCGTACGGACAATGGCGAGCGTCCGTTGCAACTGTGCGCGGAACTCGGGCTGTTTCTTAGTAGTACTACTTTTAGACACAGTAAACGCAAAAGTACCACTTGGCGTCCCCCTATAACTGGCCAGTAAGAAACACAAATAGATCACGTTGCCATAAGTTACAGGTGGCGTGATTCCATACTGGACTGTCGCTTGTTCTGGTATATCTGCGTCGACTCTGATCATGTTTTAGTAAGATGTCGTTTTCCATGAACTTTACAAAGTGGCGTACTAAGTGTCTCACTCTATTGGCAACTGAGAAATTATCTCAGCCCCCGAGTTGTCAAACCTACCAGGATGCTCTGCGCACCGAACTTTCGCTCGCTCGCTGGAACTGATGGAGCGCCGTCGAAATGCGCCAGACTCTATCGACAACTCAAACAAAATTTGCGTAATGGTCGCAAAACTTAGTAATCTCAGCTCGCCTCGGAAATGGAGACCACTGCCCTCTCCGGCAATTTCCGCAAACTCCTCTAGCTCATTCGGTTAATCGGCCCAAGAAGGCCTGGTGCCAGCGAGACTAAGTGCGAAACGGATCGGTCACGAATTACTAACCTGAGAAAACGCGTAGAAGGTTGGGTCGAACTTTTTCACGCCCAATTCATTCACTCTCTATGGTCCACTTGCATTTCACGTACACCCAAGTTCGTTCTTTGGGCCATTTCACGTGAGCCACCAAACAAAGTGGAGGTCTTCGTCGAGGTTCGACACCTCAAGAGATGTAAGTATTCTGGACCGAAGAAAAGATCTCATGCTCCTGGGGTAAGTCAGTAATTACCATTATTTTCAAGTAATGTACTTGCACCTCAGGTGCCAATCACAAGGGAATCAGTCTCATGCCGGTTGCTTCCAAACTGATGGCATCCATTGTGCTCCGTAGAGTATCCCCGATCCGGGAGTTACTTTAGCGCGAACAATGAGCTGCCTTTCGCCCCGGTCGACGATGTGTGAAGCATATCTTTACGCTATGCCAAGTCCTTGAACACCGCCACCTTTATCACGGGCCAACCATTGTCGTCTTCCTGGACATCCGAGCTGCATTTGATTCAGTCGATCGGTCTGCTTTATGCCACTGTCCGATAAGAAACGGAGTTTCCGAAAGGTACACTTTTATCATAGGGGTGCTTTAGTTCCAAGTGCCAGGTAGAGTGAGAGTCTATAGCAAGTTTTCCTTACGCTTCGTTATCACTAGTAGGGTGCCTTTTGTTTCCAAGCTTATTCAACTTCGCAAGTGAGGACGTCCTACTGAGATCTCTGGAAGGCTCCCGAAACCTTGGTGTCAAGTTTCTCCTTGAAAATCGCGTGAGCGACTTAGAGTATGTTAATAATATCGCTCTGCTCGGTGACGATTCAGAGAGTGCAAAGCTCTTTTTGAACCGTCTGGCGAGTGGAGCGTCCAGGTATGGCATGCGCTTTTCCCTCTTGAAGTGTAAAGTGCTACTCTAAAACTGGGTGTCGTCTGCCCTTCACTTACCATTGAAGAAACACAGCTAGAGCTTGTGGACAACTTCGTCTACCTCGGAAGCTGTAATTCTGCTGATGGTAATATTGGGAAGATCTCTTCACATCATCAAAGCCATATCGGTATTCGTCAATCTGAGTCATTTATAGCGTCGTTGAGACATGCTCCTCTCCTAGAGCAGAGGGTCTACAACGCTTGTGTCCGCGCGGTCCTGTTGTACGGAAGTGGGTCCTAGCCGATTCATGTGGACGACATGTGTCAGTTTTTGGTCTTCGAGAATATATGTTTACGGAAGATAGCCCGTGTGTGGTGGCAGCACCGGGCTCGCAACGAAGAAGTCCGGCATCGCACCTTGGGAGACACGAGCCTTCGGTTTAATCGCCTTATTGCAATGCGTCAATTGAGATGGATAGCCACGTCTTACGCATGTCATGCGAGCGCTTACCATGCCGCGCCTTATTTGCTCGCACGGGATTGAAATGGAAGAAGACGAGTGTCGGTCAGCCAACCACTTGGAGACAAAGCATGAAATCGCTGATCTGTCTCGTCCTCGTCGGTCATGTACCTGCCCCTGGTTGGGGCCCAAGGATGAAGATTGCCAATGGCTGAATACACTTGCTGATATGGCGCGAAACCAGAATCAATGGAAGAAATGTAGATCTAAATGTTTTGAACAATGTGATTAAAGCGATAAAAATCAAAATGAAGAAAAAAGGAACAAAATGGCATGTTAAGACAACAGAAAACCGAAATGCCAAAAATTTGTTCACTTTCCCTGATAGTTGCACTCTTTTGCTTTTGTTCACCATGGTTTATACGATAGCTTGATCTTTAGTTATAGGCTTCTGCTAATATATATCTCCTGTCCTAGGTACGTGCGAATTCCTGAAGGATGTCTCTTACTCAACCTTAAGCACTGGCAGTAGGTAATATCACAGATTCGTTGATGGTCACTTTGGCGCGACCACATCAATAATGCATTAAGTAAGTCCCGCTAGTCACTGTCAAACATTTGGCTTTCGAAGGTGTTAAAATTGTTTAGAAAATTCCCATGGAGCTTACATAGTGATTTGGATCACGGACGAATAATAATAATAATAATAATAATAATAATAATAATAATAATAATAATAATATACCGTAACTCACCGTCACGGTACGTCAACGTCCTAGAATTAACTTGAGAAAGTAGCAAAGGTAACATCGGTCGCGAAAAGTATAAAAGTGTAGTGGACAACACGTGGAGTAGAAGTGAAACACAACGGAGATAAATAAGCCCAATAAGAAGTAAGTTAGATTTGGACCTAACGTTTTAGACAGGTGTAACAAGACAATAGTTAATCACACTAGAGTGAGGCTGTATCCAAGTGACTTGTATTATTGATCGAATACCGACGATACAATGAAGGTAATGAAAAGAGAGTAAGCAACATTTTAAGTTAACAGGGAAATGCTACTGGTAACGGATACAAACAACACTGATTTTCATAAACCCAGCTACGTTACAGTCGGTGGATGAAGAATGGGAAACACTCCTATGCTCACTCTCATGGCTAGCACGTGAACCAGAATATGAAGTATCAACATCATTATGGTAATCGCTAGTAAGTTACTTGCCGGGGTTGTTCACTTTCCACGGATGTTCCCGAGCGATTTTTCTTGAGATGCATGGTTCAACGTGAACACTTGAAACGAAAGTTGTGGGGCCTTGAACTCCAAATTCAAACTGTACTCCAAAGCGAGGAAACGTTATGGAGTAATTGGACTCTAGAGACAATTGCTGATTAATACACTCAATTCTTCACCCAAATGTAAGAACAAATGTTGGATACTGTAAGCAGCAAGCGATTGGAACCAGAGGTCCAAACGGGATCAATACTAGAGCCGGTGTTGGATAATCAGCAGTTAACAGTCAGCACTTCCCGCACAAGTCCGAAGTAGCAACTACAAATCAGCAAATAGCAATTCCTATATATATATATATATATATATATATATATATATATATATATATATGAATGCGACCACGATACCCAAAGCATAAGCCGAGATGATTTATTGGCGGATGAGGTCAGGTAGCACATCGGTATTTCCTTGTATCTGACTGCAATGACGCTGAGAAACGGACTATGTTAGATGCATAGTTGTACTACACGCCTCCTGCCACTGCTCATGAACTCAGAATTTTATTGGAACAAGCCGTGGAGACAAGCTCGTGAAGAACATACACGGTCCAGATGTTGTTTTCGTCGAGCTAAACACTTCGATTGCAGACGTTCCGTCACTAAGCGATATGGTAGTAGTAGTAGTATTAGTAGTAATAACCTTAATAGCAGGACCCGAGTTGGATGCGACCAGCTGATCCATAGATAAAATACAAACGTCAGTACTCTAGCTCCATCCGGATTGGGGGACAGATCTTGTAATCGACAATGCATGGGTAGTTCACATGAGCTACCGTAAAGTTTGGTTCGTAGTGAAATGGATCTTAGCAAGTTCATTAGCGCAAAGGCAGTTCTGTTGCTGTATGTTGTTTCAAGCTTGTGTTATCAATCCGATTGATGCCATTCTCTCTGATTGGTCGGTAGACAGGATCGAACTCAATGCGCATGTACATCGAGTCCCTTGTAAGAAATCGGAGTTTGAGAAACTCTGTTTTCCTGTTTCTCCATGTGTCAGAATCGCTGTTTTGCTCCAATCAAAGTTGTGACCTTCTTCATCGAAGTGGGTTTAAGCCAACGGCGCTGCATAGTGATTTTTACAGGCTTCTCTATTCTTGTTGACAATTTCATCCCTGCTTGGCCAATATAGTTCTTGCCACAGTTTTTGGAATTGGACTCTGTTTGCAACGGAATGCCGTTCGTGCGTTCCTGGTCTCTCTGTTGGTTTTGACAAGGTTGTCCTCTACGTGGCTGTTGGTTTGTGGGTCACAATATGACGGTGTGGTTTGAGTAGTCTGACCGTCATCTCGCATTTGTTGTATATATGACAGGACGGCTAGTTTCTTTCTCGTTGGTATCAGTTCGGCATTTGCAGTTCAACGGGTTGAACAGCTGCGAGCAAAACTGTGTGGATACATGTCGCGTAAGAATAGCTTGAACACCTGCTGTTCCACCTTTTATTTAGCTCCCAAGGTGGCTGCATCATAGTTTATGACATTTCGGATGCTGAGTGTTGAAATTCGACTGATTGAAAAAATAGACGCTCTACTGTCGCAAACAGAACTACATGCGAGCCGAAAATAGTGCTTAGTAGCGTGCTAAGTTTGAGTGGGGTTGCGTCATTGATAACATAAGGACAGCGGTCAGTCAGATCATAGACTGAAAAGGAGACAAAGCAGCAGCTGGCGCCGCCCCATGCGGCTTGCTCAGCTGATGTTGCCAAAAGAGATTGTATACAACGGTCGTTCACGAGGTTCTAAACAAACTGCGAGGAAGCAGTTCTGTGTTTGAGAACGATACTCAATCTAGTCTAAGCAGAATACTCATCGTCAACATCCTCGGAGGTGCGCAAACATAAGCATGTGGAGAAGCAGAGCGTCGTACGTTCGGTGAATGCAATACGGTCGTCGATGCAGCACATGTCAAAATCTTTGGCATTCAGTGTTGGTGCCAGTTCAGTCGGTTGCCTCACCTGTCTGAGGATATCAGCGTTGAACGTAGATAAGGAATCTTATGGGCTTGGACGGACAGACGATGTTTGGTGACAGATCACTGAGAACTGTGGCAATTTGGATGTAAGTGGTAGAGGTTTCATTAAAACTGTTGCTACCGTCACTTGTGCCGAGAACTACAGAGTTAGCGATGAGAATCGGGGGGGGGGGGTGTAAGAGAAATGGGCAGTCAAGAGTGATCTGTTTTTTTATTCATCATAGTGTTTATGAGATAAACTGACCCTGTTGAAACTATGAGACAGCCGATGTAAAAAGAGATCGTAGTTCAACGCAGAGATCATGATTGCATGTGAGTTGGGGTACAGTCAGGATGCCCAAAGTTAGATTGGCAAAGTAATGATGCGTAATATAAAGTCAACTAAGGGACTTTGAAGTCACACGAGCGTGCAGAAACCACATACACAGTGCGCTCATAAGTGGTGGTATAGGTTCACGTACAAGTGAATCAATCTAACATTTCCAGTGAATAGATAGTGGGCATGAGTGTGATGGTGCGAAGGTTCAGCGCTGCAAGTGTTTTACACTCTGAAGGTGCGAACCACACACCGAAGCGGGGAGTGCTTGTGTCAACCCATCCAGAAACATTTGCATAGATAAAGAGTAAAATCACAAGAGACTACCTATATTCTCTGGGTAATCCAAATGTCAGTCAGTGGAAGAGGAAACAATTAAAAACAACCCCTTTGACAAGATCAGTACATGCGATAAAAAGTCGAGCGTTGTTGCAGTGATGTAAAAGTCGCACAACCATTTTGGTGTGCGGTACAATATATTTAAATCGTTGCCGGCGACGACATAGGATAAAAGATAGGCTATCAAATTCATCACAATCAACAAGCATACATGAGAAGCGGGACATTAATAGGAAAATCGATATAAGTATATGCAAACAGGTTGGTGGGCGTGGAGTGATGCGTTGGCAACGTACATTTTCACTACTGTGCCCCGTGGACCACAGAGCAAATAAATGATGATGGGACAAGGATGGAGCCAGCATGTCGACAACGAGAGGTTTCGATGTACGTGCCATGACGTGAGGCGCAACGTTGCTGTCTTAAATCAGGTCAGACGCTGATGAGTTGTTCGTGTTTGAGGTGCCGGCCCTGTATTATAATGAGTCTCCGCTACAATTTGATGCTTAGTTCGACTCAGGGTAGAACGCAGACTGACCAGTGACGGTAACTGCGTGCAGTGTTCTCATGGATGTCGCTACCAAGGATTTGTAGGCTCAATGTAGGGATAACATTTAATTACCTCACGATAGCACACAAGAAAGTGCGCTAGTCAGAAGCTGTAATGCAATCAGATGGATTCAGTAGCACCGAATTGCACAATTCGCCCTGGATAACAGTAATAAAAACAGCTACCATGAGACCATGGTTGGAATAGCCAACCAGGTGACATGGTGGAAAAGTTTGTGTACGAAGGTGGTGCGCTGATGCTAAGGACACGGTCAGTACACAATTGGAGAGGCAAACTACTCCGAATCGGCACCCCAGACAATGCACAGCTTCCAACAAATAACCATTTTACGATGTGCATCGCTAGAAATGATCAATATACTCGTATTGTGATGGGGGTATACAATAAGACACAAGGCGGATTAGCAGGACAAAAAAAGCAGAAAGATTACTGCAAACGGGCGATTCAGATGGTTGGACATTTCCGCGTCTACGCTGATTGGTTGATACTTGGCTGTGCTGGAGTGAGCATGTTTAATCGAAGCAAAGAAAGAATCCCATGAACGCAGAAAGGTTGTTATTTATGGAAACGACCGAGTTATATACACAGAATTTGCAACGGCCAGTTATGCTGTGATTTTCGCTGATATTGCTTTGTTGGAAAAACAGTTTGTCCATTAAAAACTGGGTACTAGGACTCGTCTACCTGTCACGCGGATGAGTTGCGGATAAAATTCGCCTGTGGTTGTTTCCGAGACCTTGTCGGTTAGAATCCTTACGAAAGCAACAAGTCATTAGACAACGATAAGCCTCGAGGTTAAACCGCACACATACGGCTATCCACTGGAATCCAGTGTAATAAACATATCTTCTGAGGATAAGCCGTAAATGAAAGTAGGCGAAACCATTGACTGGACATCGTCAAGATATGAAGATTGTCTGTAAATGGGTGCATGGATAGCAAGAATCTAATTCCAGTGATTTATATCTACAAGTATGTTTCAAAGATAAAGCGCACTCCCACTGCACAAGAGTTCGGAGTGTAAGCTAGCGACGTTGATTAACATGCGTGGCACAGAGTGCGAGCGTTGTAGCTTCCGATGATGTGATAGAATTGGTTTAAAAGATAACTTCGCTACACTGTAAGCAAATGTAGTGTTGTCAGTAGACCGGAGGAAGAAGTTTGCGAAGAACAAGTAAAGAAGGGGAAAGATAAATTGGGACGGAGTGATGCGGGCAGATAACGTTGCCTGGCTGCACACCCAGAGGAATTTGGTTTGTTCAAAGGTTCCAACTCCTAGCCCGCGGATCAAACAGGATAGAGGGTTAATAATGGTTGGCTTGTGAGAATCCGCTGTCAACCTCTGAGTCAACAGGTAGGCTCACAAGGCAGCGCAAGAAGAGTGCGCTATTTAGCCCGAATGTTTCAATCAAAAGTAAACTCTCATTACAGGGGAATTCGAAGCGAAAGCAAACGACACAAACAGCCATCGAGACTTCCCTAACATCAGGCTACAAAAATATAGCGTGAAAAATGAAACACCAACAATCTCCAAAGATTTTAATGGTTGAGGGGTATCAATCTCTTGCGTGTGATTGCAGCGTGAATCTGGGAAGCGAAGGAAGATGGAAGCAGGCCTCTCTGACATCGACAATACGTAAAGATCAAGAACTCTAGGTAAAAATATGGACATAAGTGCACAACACAACCATCGTTAATACATGGTAGCTGAAGGTGAGGAACACGACAGCAATTGTGCCGCACAACAAAAACAGACACCATAAATAGCAAGTGAAGAAAAAGCACTTGAGGCACAGAGAGAGCCAGGAGTGGTGGGCATGTCGTAGCGTACGAAATAAAAAGTCTAAGAAATTTACCTATAAAATGGATCATATGAAAAGCACGGTCAAAAATCTAGTTTATCCTTCGCATGACAGAAATGGTGCTTAGAGATGGATACGACAAATAGAACAAAAGTGTAGTACTGAACGTGGTCTAAAAACAAAGTAAATAAAACATTATCGTAGAACATCAAAAGATGAAGCGCTGTAAAATGAATTCATTTCATCGAAGATTTAGTGAAACGAAGTAACCCATAGACAGTTAGCAAAATCAGAGACGAAAGACGGAGGTGATGGAAGTTAAATGCTGCACAACGTAAGCTGTGTCTAGAGAAAGACTATTGAGAGACAGTGGGGCAATCATCGGTATGGTTCTCTGGGCCGCTCGCAGGAATCGTGGAAATGGTCGAGCGTCTGTACTTTGGTTTCCAAGTTTTGATTACCCTTCGCTTGCGCGATGAGCGACGCAGACCATCGGTTTCCCCTTCGTTCGGCTGGGACGAACAGCTGTTAGCAACAGGGTCCAGTTGCGAATGCGGAGTCGAGGAGTCAACCGGAATCTTAAATCCGACGCGCAGATGATCTCGGAGACGTGAACGACGCAATCTCTCTTGGACCCGCTGCATTTGGAGGAAAGGCGGAATAACATTCTGATAGATTGCAAGACATGTGTCCTCGCGTTTATTGTTCGCTTATGCACCAAAAAAGCACCGTATAACAGAAACTCAAATAGAGGAAAACAGAACAACAGAACAAATGGCGCCATTCCCGGGAGTAATGCCTACAAATTTGCTAGTAATATTCCTCGCTAAATGGTTGTATAATGTGTCGTAAGAACACTTGGTCTGGCTCTCTCCCATCCTGAAAATCAACCTTTGGTCTAATTTAGATGGTTCCGATTAGCCAAGCTTCTAAGTTAGGCAAATAAGGTGGAAACGAACCGGCAACTACAAGTATATGCGCGAAGTCCCAAGCAGAGTAGGTCGCGGACTAATTGATCGTCATTATATTCTCTGGAAACAAAACGTGCTGGAAGGGGATATGCGAAAGTGATGAAGTCATGACATACAAACAAGACCTATTTACGTAGAAAAAAACAAAAACACAACACAACAGTGTGCGCGAAACAAAAAACCCATTTATTTTGCTAATGCATTTCCCCTATATCCTCGATTCCCGTCATGGGTCTGATTGTACAATGTCTGTAATTAGGTTGTCAATTTATAAGCATATTTATATATTCATGTAAATATATGCCACATGCAGAAGTTGACGTAGCATTTAGGATAATTTCTCACCACAGTTGGGTTAAGCCAACGCACACTTAAATTATGCCTTTTTAATTTGGATAAAAGTCATTCCACTTTAGTTGGTTTGCTCAATGTAGTCATTCTGTTGAATATTTTAAGTCAATTTCGCGTGTTTGCTTCCACTTAAATTGCATGTTGGTCTTTTGATATTGCCGGTGTGACTGCACTTGACGTGAATGTTGACCAGGTGCATAACTGTATAACACCTCGATTACTGGCTCCAGGAGACTGTGAATCGTTGCTGGGAGGGGGGACGGGGTGCATGGTCCTCGGGCCGTGCTACGCGCAAAGAGTGGTTCAATTCAGTGTGGAGCGGACTACGGTCCAGCCACCACCTTGTATACGTCAGGTGTGCATGATTTCCTACAAAGATAGACAGAAATGCTGCTACTGTGCATGCTGAAGGAGTGGGGGCCCGGTTCTGCTGATAAAACGTGGATTACATCGGTACGTCTCCTGGACTTATTACTTCGGGTTTACAGCAGCTATATATATATATATATATATATATATATATATATACATATATATAGTGTGTGTGTGTGCGTCGCGGCATCCGGTTTCAGATTTGCCTGTCACTGTGGCCAGCCACAGGACGCCTGCGCTTACAGAGGGACGATGGATGGTTTGCACTGCACCGCCCACACACCCCATATCCAGTGTAAACCCGAAGGAATAAGATCGCGAGGCATATGGACGAGAGCCAGGTTTCATCAACGGAGCCGGCCCACACTTCCTCACAGGTAAACACAAACACGCTGGAGATGGGAATCAAGCGTATCCAAGGCGGTGGCTGGACCGTAGTCCGCTCCACACTGAGTGCATGGAACCACTCTTCGACCCTAGCGCGACCACAAGGACCGTGCACCCAGTCCCCTCCAGCAACGACCAACTGTCTCCTGGAGCCAGTATGAACGAGGTAGTGGGTAATAGGCAGGTAGACATCTTGTCAACATGCACACCAAGCGCTGCCACACCAGGGATATCATGCAACAGCTAGTCACTTGAAACGACAATACCACATTAAGTAATTTGAATCAGGCATACAGGTAGGGTGACACGACTCTTCACTAAATGAGCATATGAAATGAATTGGTTGCCAAAAAATCCGCTGTACTTTCAAGACGGCAGAAAATATATGTTAAGAAAATTCTACAATCGCGAAAATGCTATCAAATGTACTTACAATTAAATTGAGCGACGTGTGCAAGTTAATAGAAGATAGTTCACGTAGGCAATAGTGAGAAATTACAGCAAGTACGCCAGCTGAAATAAAGAGACCCAGCACGTAAACAAGCGGTTAGTAAATCGAATGCATCGTACCTACAAACGCTGCGCCGGTTCTGCCTACGTTCTCTGCAGGACCCGTCGTCGCTTCTGTGGTGGCCACGAATGGCCTCGCTTATGGCCCACTAGGCCTGCCTGACTCAGGCACTCGCGACCGCATGTGCTACAGCACCATGCACTCAATGTCAATGGGGTACAACCCATAAATGTCTGCGACTTTCGTACTTGCCGCTTCTCCGAATGCACAAGGGATTTCTCCTGCATCTTGGCAACTGCCTTCGTGATTAGATCGCGCCATGCACGCCGATTAAGCTGTAATCAAGATTAGAACGTGGGAGGCTCACTTTGATCATGTCCTTGTAACGAAGCTTCGATTTCCCAACATGCCGCTTCCCAATACTCAGCTGAAGATATAACGGTTGTTTCGGAATCCGTGTCGTATACATCCGCCACACATGACTGAGCCACCACAGGTGTCTCAGCAAAAATATACAGACCACTGCATACATTCCACTTCGAGGCAACACTTCTGTATCCGCAACTCTGTCGCACCAAGCAATGCGCAGAATCCGTTGCAGATACTGTTCATGGAACCGCTTGAGGTATCGGACATCTCGCCAGTACATCGTCCACGTGTCACTGCCGTATAAAAGAACGGACAGCATCACGGATTTGTATACCATCAGCTTCATGCCAATAGTAAGCTGATGGTTGTTCCATACTGGACACTCAAGCTTCCCGAATGCCGCCGCTGCCTTCGACACACGGACACGAAGCTCACTGTGAAGCTGCTGGTCAGTCGACATCACACTCCCAAGGTAGCAGAAGCGGGAGGTGGTTTCCAATACTTCAGCACCAATGCCGAATCACGGCAATATTGAAGACGGCACCTCCGATGAAGGCTGAAAGAGACAGACAGTTTTGCTTGTGTTGATGATGAGTCCGAATTTGACTGCTGTCGAAGCCAGAGCACTAGTCATGTGCTAATCCGCGCGGTGTGCAAATAACGCACTGTCGTCAGCAAACAGCAACATACGGATAGTTGTCTCACAGACTAGGTTCTCGCACTGAAACGACGGATGTTCAGCAACCCACCATCGATACGGTGCTCCACACGAACACCGTAAGCACAAGCCGCATCAAAAACACTAGACATCATGGCATGGAGATATATATTAAACAGGGCAGGAGCTAAAACACAGCCTTGCTTCACACCAAAGACAACTACAAAGTCATCTGAGGTAACTCAACTCAGATGCACCCTCGCTCGCATACCACTGTGCAGACATTCAATTAAACTTACAAATTTACGCGGTCAACCAAACTTGCACAACACCAGCCACAATGCCTCGCGGTTCACCGTATCAAATGTCTTGGTGAAATCAACAAAAAGCGAGTACAATGGCTGGTGTCGTTCTCTGCACTTCTCCTGCAACTGACGAGCCACAAACACCATATCTAATGTGCTGTAACCTGAAGGGAATCCACATTGCTCTTCCGCCACGTTAGGTTCCACAACCTGAATGACGACGCGGTTGAGCAGGATTCGGGTAATCACCTTGCCCACACAACTCAGCAAGTTGGTGCCACGATAATCCGTGCAACATTGCTTGCTACCTTTGCCGGTGTACAGTGGTAGCACAACGGCATCCTTGTGTTGCATCAAGTGGTGCAGCGCAGTCACCAACGCTGCATTCTTTTCCGACGCCAATGCGCCGATCGTCGCATTGTTGTCATCAAACTAATCAGGCCGCTTACAGTTTGCGCGCCTGATGGTCTCCTCGGCAGCAGCTGTCACCTGATCGCGAATGTGGTGCCACATGTCGCCCACTGTGGCTATGCAGTCCACATCACATAGACGCGCAGCCATCGCCTTCTCCAGCTCAGTACGTTTCGCCACAATACCGAGGGAGAGAATGTTAAATTTACGCCGGTTCACAGCGGGAGTGCAATACATCGATTTACGAAAATATATGTACAGTTTGGTCCGAACCAATTTGTGATCAGTGCCACACTCAGCTCCACGCAGTACATGTGTCATACGCACTTCACGCATATCACACTGACGTACGATGACATAGTCGAGCAGGTGAGCGTGATCACTCCGTGGGTGCGTCCAAGTTGCTATATCACTCGCACTCAGTGCAAACCGAGTGTTCGTGATCGTCAGGCCGTGAGTGGCACACAGTGAGAGTAGCCTGTCACCGTTCGCATTCGCTGAACCAATGCCATGCGCACCGATAACATCTGTCCACGCTGATGCATCACGCCCAACGCGCGCGTTGAAATCACCCAGCAGAAATAGTCGGTCGCTCCACGGCAGTGACCGTATCACGGAGGATAGCTCAGTGTAGAATTGATCACGCGTGTTATCAGGATAATATGGTCGGGCCATAATGGTTATAGAAGTGGAAAACTTACCTCTTCCGAGTCGCAGGCGAGCAGTCATCAGTCGGGTGCTGATGCCTGTTGGTTCATCCAACAGGTGGCTATTTAGACGGTCGGATATTGCAAATCCGACCTCATGTTCATGTGCTGTTCAGGTGGCGTTGCCCACCCAGTAGAATGTGTAGCCAGCACCTGCTTCATGCAACTTACCTTGCTCAGCGAGCCGAGTTTCACTGAGCGCCGCAATATCGATGTGGTAACGCGCCAGCTGCATCGCGACCAGTGCAGTGCGTCGTTCAAGTTCCGGTCAAGTAGGGTGCGCAAGTTCCAGCACCCGGTGCTGAGTGCTTTGCGCGCAGGCATATGATTGCATTGGTGGGCAATCGCACGCGAGGTGGTCGTTGGGCTTCGGAGGTTTGCTTGAGGGACTCTTACCAGAGCCTTTGGCTCAATAGCCTGACCCACAAAGCAGTGGGTGATTTGTAGGTTTGCTTGAGGGACTCCGCCCGGATCCTTTGGCTCAGTAGCCTGACTCACAAGGCAGTGGGTGGTTTGGAGGTTTGCTTGAGGGACTCAGCTCGGAACCATTGGCTCAATAGTTTGACCCACAAAGTGGTGGGGAGCGGATCCAGCTG